TTCATTTTTGATAACTTCCAGTTTTCCCATATTCATACTTTGTACATTCCAGTTTTCAATGTTCCAGTTTTCAATGGATGTTTACAGCTGTTCATTTTGATTTATGCCCCATCAGCAAATGACAGTCCCGCGGGCTTTACTCCATTTGCGTCATCAAGGTCAACTCTACTTTGAGGAGGCAGCCCTTCCCCAGTCGCATTTTGAATGCCTTCCAACCTGAGGGGCTCATTTTCTGGCACTATATCTGACAGTGTTCCTCCGCTATTCATAAGGTTTTCAGTGACTAAATATTCGGAAGTTGTTCGTCACTCTTTCTTCTAGTCTGTCTTCATCTGGAAGCTCATCTGAAACATGTACATCATGGGTGACCCTGCTGGTATTTAAAATACCAGTGGCATAGCTTTCAGAATCACAGCAACTCACATGCCACACAGTACGACAAACTAACAGAAGAGTGATAGACTCGTATGACGTTCTAATTGGTAGCTTATGAAAAACTGCTATAGAAAACATAGGCTCACCTTAGAAGGAATGCAACCAACATTCAAGCATGTTCCACCAAGTGTTTCATTTTTCTCAATGCAGACTGTCTACAAGCAAAGAAAACATTCTTTACTACACATACCCTTCAATGTTTCAGTCCATGAAAATCCCAAATATATATTTACCTTAATTCTTCACAAAACATGCTGCGCAAGTTGTGTTTTTCAGAGACTAAAATATAGAGCCCTTTATAATTTATCATTTGATTTCTATTAAACTCTTCCAGGCTAATTCCTTCATAAATTGTTCTTAATAGATTTCTATTTTGTTTACTATTACCAAATACATACAGCTTTTGGTTCTATTACTCTTATCTTTCAAACTCTGATTAGAAGCCAAAAAGAGAAGTACTGGTGAGAAGGGAAAATAATGGACTTCACTTTCCATCCCATAAAAATACTACACCCAAATAAACCCTCTCTTCATCAGAGTTAAAGAGACAATAAAGAGTTTAGAGTTTACTGTGCTTTCACTTACATTTTGTGAACATGATCTAAGTGAGTCAGCATCTAGTTTGCCTGTAGACCTTACCTTGAAGCCTAACTGGGCAGCTTTAATAGCAGCAACATATCCTCCAGGACCAGAACCAATCACTGTTACATCAGCATCAACTACAATAAAAGCAAATTGATTAAAATTGTAAGCTGTTTACTATTTACTAAAAACAGCTCCTTAGAAAATGAAGCAAACAAAAGAACTTCTGAAACCTCCCAGGAAACACGAAATCATTTTCTACACCCACGCCCACTGCTGTGGAATCAATTTAGGCTCACAGCAATTCTACACAGGGTTTCCAAGACCGTAAATCTTTACTAGAGCAGACAGCCTCATCTTTCTCCTGTGGAACTGCTGGTGGGTTTGAACCATCAACCCTGTGGTTAGCAATCCAGTGCTTATCCTACACACAGCACTATTTATTCCTAGGTATTTGATGCTCTTGGATACTATTGAAATTATATCATTTTTTAAATTTCATTTTTCATTTGTTCGTTATGGTACAGATAGATACAACTGAGCTCAATGTTAACATTGAACCTACTACTGACCTTGCTAAAGTCTGTAGAGGTTGATTTTGTTTTGTTTGCGGGAAGTATTGTTCTTGCTGTTAAATGCTAATGTAACAAAGTATGCCACTTCAACAATCTTTAACATGTACAGCTCTGTGACATAAATTATGTGAATTATCACCCTTAACAGAAGCATTGAGCACTGAGTCTTTTCTCTCTCCCACTAACAAACTTTAGTTGCCTTACATTTGCCTATTTTAAATATTTTATGCAAGTGGGATCATACGTATTTGTCCTTTTGTGACTGACTTATTTCACTCCATGTATTTTCAATGTTCATTCACGCCTCTATGCGGCATACATTAGGACTTTATGTCTCTTTATAGCTGAGCAGTAGTCCATTGTACATGTGTAACAAATTTTTTCTCTCCATTCATCTGCTGATCTGCAGAGCTTTATTTAATGATAACTGGCAGGCATTTAGTGACACTAAACCTCCAGAAAACAGTGTGAATGATAGGAAGAGCCTGAGCTTTGGAATCTGACATGCCTGGCTTCAAATCTTAGCTCTGCCACTTACTAATTTTGACTTTACTTTTACTTTTCTGTAATATAAGAATGTAAAAAAAAAAAAAAAAGATGACTCAAATGACTGATGTTCAGACTAAATAATTTTATGCAATTATTTCTATAAATCTAATTATTTTGCTCCCTTTTCCGGTGCCTACTTCTGAAATATCATGAGAGATAAATCAGTTTCCCTATAATCTGAACATTACTTGAATATTGTTCACTGTTGTACAGTTTAAGATATTAGGTTAACTAGACCATTCAATTAACTATTCTAGATATTTATCTTATGAAGATAAAATATTAAAATCTAACTTTGATCAGCAGCCTTAAGGATATAATAATTATACTAAATTCTTCCAGGCTAATTCCAGAGTAAATTCCTTTGTATAGGTTTCCTTTTTGTTTACAGCTTCAAAGTTCTATCACTTATCTTCCCAAAGTGTGATTAGAAGCCAAAGTGTAAAATATTGGAGGGAAGGGAAAAATAAGGGACTTCACTTTCCATTCCATAAAAAATATTGTTGAGTGCCATTGAGTTGGTTCCTACTCATAGAGACCCTACATAGGGTTTCTGAGGAGTGACTGGTGGGTCTGAACCGCCACCTTGCATTCAAATCGACCTTGAAGTCCAGTGCTTATCCTACAGCACCATACCAGGACTCCCAAAAAGCACACAGCATCCAGTATTCCCAGGAGGTCTCCCATCTAAGTACTAACCAGACCCAATCCTACTTAGCTTCCAAAGTCAGGAGCATGCAAGACGGTATGGCCGTAGACAATGGAGACATAGAAATACTACACCCAAATAAACCCTCTCCTTCATCTCTGGGTTAAATATACTACAGAGTTACTAAATTATTTATTGTGTTTGTACTTATATTTTGTGAATATTTGAACAAATGTACAAATAAGTGTAATTATTCCCATTCGCAATCCAATAGGAAATAAAGCAACAATAACTTTCAAGAGTTGTTGTTGTTAAGTGCCGTGGAGTCAGTTCTGTCTTACAGTGACCTTGTATAGGGTTTCCAAGTTGTGGATAGTGGATAAGAACCATGACCTTGAGGCGGGTTAGCAGTCCAGTGCTTATCTGATAGTTATACTCCTTATCCTCTCCTTTAATTGTCCTTACAACCCCAATTACTTGAGCATTCATAAGTTTACAGCACACATTCATATGCATTCTCATGTTTGAGTCTCAGAACTTCTTATGAAGAAGGCAAAGGTAGCATAAATATGACCATTTCAAAGGTAAAGAAACAAGAGTTTCAGAGTTCAATTTATTTTCAAAAGGTAATCTTAATAAGCAAATGGAAGATACAAGAAAACACTAAATTTTTACTCTACTTCGAGTGGTTTTTCTATTATTCAATACTATTCCACTCCTGAATTTCAATTATCATAAACTCAAATCCTCAAGCACAATGGTGATGGTATGTGCCGTGGAGTTGGTTCTGACCATAGCAACCCCCCATATATGGTTTCTGAGGCCATAAATCTTTACAGGAACAGAATGCCTCATCCTTTTCCCGCGGAACAGCTGGTCGTTTCGAATTGCTAACCTTGAGGTTAGCAGCCCAACTCGTAACCACTATGCTACCAGAGCTCCTTTCAAGCACCACAATCAAGCTATATATTCTAGTTATGTGACCTTAGGGAAGGGAAGTTATTTAACCTGCCTCACACACTAATTGTTTTTGTTAAGTGCCTTCAAGTCAATGCTGACTCATAACAACCATGTAAATGGTTTCCAAAGAGAAGCTGGTGAGTTTGAAACACTGACCCTGTGGTTCGCAGTCCAGTGCTGAACGTATGGTGCCACACCAGAAGTCCAAATAATAATCGTTGTTGCAAAGTGCCATCGAATGAGTTCCAACCCACAGCAACCCTGCATAGTATTTCCCAGGAGTGGCTGGTGAGCTTGAACCTCCAACCTTGCGGTTCCAAACCAACTTTGCAGTCTAGTGCATTAACCCACAGCACCACACCAGGACTCCCTAAATAATAATTAGGACTACAAAATATATAACTAAGGAGCTCTGTTAGTGCAGTGGTTATGAGTTGAGCTGCTAACCTCAAGGTCAGCAGTTTGAAACTACCAGTCATTCCGCAGGAGAAAGATGAGGCATTCTGTCCCGTAAAGATTTACAGCCCCAGAAACCCTACTTAGGGTTCCTATGAGTCGGAACTGATTCCACAGCACATTATCACCACCACCACCACCACCACCACCACCAATATTAACTAGGAAAGAAATGCCTCCTCAAAGAAGAGTTGGCTGTGATGACGTGAATTGTGTAAAGCCTACAGGACCTTTATTTGCTGATGGGGCAAAACTCAAAATGAAGAGAAACATTTGTAAACATCCATCAATAATTGGAGTATGGAATGTACAAAGTATGAATCTAGAAAAATTGTAAATTGTTAAAAATGAAATTGAACACATTAGTGAACTTAAATGGACTGATACTGGCCATTTTGAAAGTGACAATCACAGGGTTTACTATGGCAGGAATGACAAATTGAATTGTCTGTGATAGGATAATAGTCATATGCCTACAAGGAAGACCAATTAATATCAATATTATTCAAATTTACACATAAGCCACTAAAGGCAGTGATGACGAAACTGAAGAATTCTATAAGCTGCTTAAGAGTTCTGCTATGGTTGTTGTTGTTGTTAAGTGCCATCAAGTCAATTCTGACCCATAGTGACCCTGTATAGGGTTTCCGAGGAGCAGATGGTAAGCTTGAACCACCAACCTTTGAACCTTGAAGTTCAAAGCAACTTGCAGTCCAGCGCATTAACCCACAGTGCCACACCAGGACTCTGGGTTAATGTGCTGGCCTGCAAGGTTGTTTGAACCAAAACATTGGTGATTCAAGCTTACCAGTCACTCCTCGGAAACCCTATACAGAGTCGCTATGGATCAGAACTGACTCAACGGCACTTAAATAATAAGAACAAACCAACTTCTTCGGTCTGAAATTGATCAAAAATGCAATCAAGATGTAATAATAGTTACTGGCAATTGGAATGCAAAGGTTAGAAACAGGAAAGATCAGTAGTTGGAAAATATGGCCTTGGTGATAGAAATGATGCTGGTGATCACATGATAGAATTTTGCAAGACAACTAACTTCTTCATTGCAAATACCTTTTTAAAAAAACCGTAAAGGATGACTATACACATGGACCTCACCAGGTGAAATACACAGATATCAAACTGACATTTGTGAAAAGAGATGGTGGAAAAGCTCCATATCATCAGCCAAAACAAGGTCAGGGGCAGACTGAGGAAAAGACCATTAACTGCTCCTATGCAAGGTCAGGCTTAGAAAATGAAAACAAGTCCACAAGAGCCAAAATATGAATGACAACCGTAACATATCTCACCTAAATTTAGAGATCATCTGAAGAACTGATCTGATGCATCAGACACTAAAGACTGAAGACCAGAAGAGCTGCAGAATGACATCAAGAACATCATACAGAAAAAGAAATAAAAGTTCATTAAGACAAGAAATGTTGCTATGTGCCGTGCAGTCGGTTCCAACTCACAGAGATCCTGTACAGGGTTTCCGAGGCTGTAAATCTTTACGGGAGTAGAAAGCCTCATCTTTCTCCCTCTAAACAGCTGGTAGCTTCAAACTGCTGACCGTGAAATTAGCAGTTCGATAAAATGAAATAGAATGCATAAACATTGATATCTTTGGCATTAGTGAGCTGAAATGAACTGATATTGGCCAATTTGAATCTGACAAGCACATGGTTTACTATGCTAGGAATGACAAATTGAGAGGAATGGTGTTGCATTCATTGTCAAAAAGAACATATCCAGATCAGTCATGAGGTACAACGCTGTCTGTGATA